AAAAAAAAAAAAAAAAAAAAAAAAGACCTATACTAAATCACTAGTGAGTTTTAACTAAGGCTAAATTATCTTAGCTAAAACCAATATATTTAATCTATTTTAATATATTCTGATACAAAAAAAATTCACAGAACAGAAAGGCATTTTAGGACTAAAGTATATGTTCTTCAAAAATATTTGAGTATATTAGAATAGGAAACTGAAAACACTCACATTTCATCTTTTAACTTTATAAAACATAGACAAGAAATGTAGTGGCAGTGTTTGAGAAATAATAACAGGTAGAGGACAAGTGTCTTCAGCAGTTGTCAACCACAGTTAAAGTAACACATCTTACTTCCCGTAATGTAGAACTCCAGGGACCGCAAAGAATATACTCTCAGACTTTTCTTTTCCAAATGTAACTTGATGAAACAAGATTAACCTTGTTAAAAACCTTGTTTGATAATTGTCTAAGCTGAATGATGATTACGTGGTGGTTCACTATTCTGTCGTCTTTACCTTTTTGTATGTTTTTGAAATTTTTCATCACAACAAGAACAACTAAATAGAATGTCAAATTGTTATTTTTGTATCTCACCTGGACTCTCACTGAATGTCAAATGTGTTCTTGCAAAAGCCCCTACCTGCCATCTCTCTGAATGTCAGTATAGTACTTTGACATCAAAATCCTTTTAATTCTTCATTTATTCCAAAGGCTTCTCTTTTCCAGTCTTTTCTTCTGGAAAAGATAGCAAGAGGAAGACACAGCAAGAAAGATTTCTTCCCAGTCTAGTTCTCTGTAATTTTTATTTCCATGTAGAAAGTTTTACCAAATTCCTTGTAATTATATTTTTTCCACTTGGAGATTTATTTGCCGAATGACCTCTGTGCTTTAGTTCCCCCCAGCGGGAGGAGGATGAGAGCACATCCCCCTCTGGTTGGCATATTCGTCATCAGCTTTGTGGAGTTTTTCTGTAGCAATCCAGTTTGAAGACCATATACAAAACAGAATTCTCGAGAAGAGAAGTGTTAATTTCAAGGTAAATAAAAACGTAACAAAAGAGAACAAGGGGATTTATTTTCATATCTACTGAGAAAATCAAAGTGTATCTGTGTAAACTGTTCCAACATTCACCAATATTAAATACATTTTTTTCATAAGTACCTGCCCTACCCTGGGTATTATGTGCTAAGGTAAGAATAAGATAGCAAAATAAACATGTTTTCAGACTACAGGGGAATTTATGGCTTTATAGGGGAGGCACCACCATTCAATTAATCATACATATACAAAAACAAATGGAAATAAGTTCTTACTAAAGAAAAGTACAGAGGCCGGACACAGGGGTTTATGCCTGTAATCCCAGCACTTTGGGAGGCCAAAGCAGCTAGATGATTTGTGCTCAGGAGTCTGAGACCAGCCTGGGCAACATAGGGAGACCTTGTCTCTACTAAAAATAACACATGACTAAGGTAGGAGGATTGTTTGAGTCCAAGAGATCAAGCCTGCAGTGACCTATGATCCCACCACTGCATTCCAGCATGGGTAACAGCGTGAGACCCTGTCTCAGATAGACAGACAGACAGACAGACAGACAAATAGACAGACAGACGGACAGACAGATCAGGTCGTTTGTGAGCCCATGTAGCAGAAAGGAGGATATGATGGCAGAGGATGGAGGTTGATGCAGGGAAGTCTTTCTTATGGAAGTTACAGTTTCCCATAGGTAAAATCAATCTGGATCTCTATTTTTAAAGGGAATAGGAGTTTAATTGAGCTACTAATGTCTTAGATGGTGAAATTCAGAAAGCAATAGGTTGAAGGGAATTCAGGGGCAAAAATGAAGCATAGGATTCAAATAGGATATATCCAAAAAAAAGAGAAGAGTTTATAAAAGTAAGTTGATTGCATTGTTTGCTGGCAAAAATGAAATGTGGACAATAGCATTAATTTTTTAAAACCAAGTTAAAATTAAAATTTAGAACATCATCTTGAACTATAAATATGTGTTTGTGTGAGTTTACACACACTCACAATTTTGAATGCCTGCTGAGTTCCTACAGCTCTGTATATCATCCATTCAGCAACATTCAGTGAATAGTGCTGTTCTAAGCACTTGGTACATCAGTTGATGAGCCTACATCAGGGAGCTTGCATTCTAATGGGGAGGACACTGACAAACAGCACATGTAGTAGATCAGTAAGTTATACGGTATGTTAGAAGGTAATATATGCTATGGGAAAAAAGAACCTCAAGTGTGATGAGGAAGGTTAGAGATGAAGGGGATGTGGGGATTGCGGTATTAAATAGAATGGTCTGGATGGGCCACATTGAGAGAATGAAATTGGAGCAGAGATTTGAAGGAGGTGAGGTCGTGAGTTATGTGGTTGTCTAAGGGAACAACATTTCATTAGAGGGAACAGCAAGTAGAGGTTCTGACATAGGCATGTTCTTAGAGTATTGAAGAAGCAGCTGGGTGAACTGTGTGGATTTGAATGAGTGAGAAGAGTGGTAGGAAATGAGATCAAAGAGGTAATGGGATTGGGGGCAAATTGCACGGGGATTTGTAGACTGCTTTAGGACTTGAGCTTTTCCTGAGTGAAAGTGGATGCCACTGCAGTTTCAAGCATAAGAGGAACATGATTTGACTTACATTTTAAAAGCATTGCTCTGACTACTATAGATAACTTTCAAAGGAGTTGATGATTATTTCTGCGATTTTAGGTATATTACAGCTAATACTGACACAGAAGAACAGAGTTTTCCAGTCCCTAAGGCATTTAACACACATGTAGAGGAATTAAATTTAGATGTCCTTCTTCAGAAGGTAGATCATTTGCGTATGAGTGAGTCTGGCAAGTCGGAGAGTTTTGAACTACTTTGTGACCACAAAGAAAAGGTAAGAGACATGACAATAGCACTTTGTATAGTTTAAATTTTTTATTTAACCCACCATCTCATTCAGTTATGACTATGATAATTGTGTCATGGTTCACACAAGCTAAATGATTGATGTAAAATTTCTCTATATAATGACTAAAATTTTTAAAAATTTATTTTTCATTTAAAATGACTAAAACTTTTAAAAAGTAAATGTAAAAGTTTATTAGACTCTAAGGTCATAAAAATGAGAACCAGAGCTATAATTATGCAGATTTACTTTTATTAATTTGTATATTTAATAAATACTTTGAGACAGATAAGGGCATTTCAAGCTATTTCTACCAATGGTCATTTGTTAATTTTGCAGTGTTTAATGTTAGGCCTGAATAAGAAAAGAAAAGCCTGTCCAGTGCTCTCACCACCACCACTAAAACATTAAAAGAGTTTGCAGTGTCCTGAGGAGAAATAAATCTTTATTTGTCTGAGGATTTAGCAATTCTAAACACATTATCTAAACTTGATAGATCTTCAGGATTATATTTAGGTAATTTAAGTAAAAACAGTTACTGCTCTTTTGAGTATATGCATTTCAACTTACAGATATTAACTGGGATGCTCATTATATTGATGATAGATAATTTTGAAAGGAAAAGAAGAAACAGATGCCACAGCCCAGGAAGAATTTCTAGATTTTGGTACCTATCAAATATCTCCTCTGCATAGATGGAGCTAGTGTCTGTATAATATTAATTGGTTTTAAGATCCAAATGTAACACTACATTAGGTCATATTTATTAGCCGTGAGTATTTGGATTCCAAAATGTTTCACACTGAAATATGCATATACATAGATTCAAGAATCTGTAAATACCAGTTTACCTGCCTAAGTTTTTAAAAATTTGCAGTAGAAAACAAGAGTAGACTAGGGGAGGGATAGCAGGGGACTGGGGAGATTGGGGAGGGATAACATTAAGAGAAATACCTAATGTAGGTGACGGGGGTGGAGGCAGCAAACTACTGTGGCATGTGTATACCTATGCAACAATCCTGCAGAATCTCCACATGTACCCCAGAACTTAAAGTAAAAAAAAGAAAACAAGAATAGAATAGACGAGTTACCAAGTTAATTTAACCAGCAACTCTATCTTTTCTTTTCAGTTTAGAGATGAAATAGAATTTATGTGGCGATTTGCTCGTGCTTATGGAGACATGTATGAACTATCTACAGACACACAAGAAAAGAAACATTATGCTAACATTGGTAAGCATTTTATAAAGATAATTCTCAAGTAGCCATTAAGACCTATACTAGGCCGGGCGCGGTGGCTCAAGCCTGTAATCCCAGCACTTTGGGAGGCCGAGGCGGGTGGATCACGAGGTCAAGAGATCGAGACCATCC